ATGGGGGTTCGCCCGGGCAATGAAAGAGAAATATATGAGAAATAATCTTTTTGCTTTCGGTCATATTATCACCCCTGCTGCTGAGTGCGCGTAGACCTATCTCAGGCGTCCCCGTTGTTCATCTTTTTCCTATCCACGACGGCGACCCAGATGATTCTTTGCACTGTAATGAACAGTAGGATGTCGTATTTTTGCAGTGCGAAGTGCGGCTCTGATCGCGCTAAAGGAACTTTCCCGCCTCCTCCCCCCTCACCACAACATCCCCCCAACATCGCCGCGGTCATACTTCAATAACTATCACAATTCCGCATCGGTCTTCTATCGTGAAAAGAGTAACCTCTTGAGGCGCGCCCGGAAAGTGTGCGAGCCTTTTTGAAGACATATGGAAACAGCACCTTGGAAAAAGAGCTCAACAGTGTAAAACACCGGGGGTGTAACGAGTTTTTATATCTTGTCCTAATTGAAAACACCTAGTGTAGCTACTTTGCTTTTGTATCCCACGGTATTAGGCCCTCATTTTCTTGTAATTCTGTCTCTTTCAAGAGGTCCCTTTGTGATCTCAACAGCGCGTCTCTCTCCCCCCCCAGAGGAGAATGTGAGCCCCCCAAGGGGACCCCGGCCCCACTAAAGAATTACCCCACTCTTTTTGTTCCTCTCCCGGGATTTCACATAAATTTTCATACAGAAAAAGAGAGGGCGGGGGAGGAAGAGGGGGGGGGGGGGGAGAGAGGGAGGGAGGGAGGGAGGCTGTCTTGTCGCTTCCGGTTTCAAACTCTCAGACAAACTGCGCTTTACTACGAGCAGCACGCGTGACAACAGAAAGTCAGAATGTGTGAGAAGACTGAAGCGTTCAGCTCGCGTCCCCTGAAATAACTTCTTCTTCTTCTTCTTCTTCTTCTTCTTCTTCTTCTTCTTCTTCTTCTTCTTCTCTCGTGTCCATTTTTCGCGGAGGAGGATCTTCTGCGTGTAGATGTGTGGATGCACACATGGATTTTTCGGTGAAAACGTGAAGAAGCGAAAAGCGTCGACGGAGGAGCTCGTTTATGGAAAGAAAAAAAAAAAAGCCACAACAAAAAAACAAAAACAAAAAAAAACAGCTCACGCGCACAACTCGAGAGGAGCGGATCACAGGCGCGCGGCCAGAAGAGCCCGAGAGGACGGGACAGGAGGTAAGAGACACCGGGGGGGGGACGCGAGCACGTCAACGTTCTTTAGTCCATCACACTTTTACAGCAGCAGATGGAGAAGGTGTGTGGTCCTCTGGAGACGTGCTTCTTCTCACCGTGTGATGCAGTCATTTTGAAATAGCAGCTGCTTTCCAATGACACACACACACTCACACACACACACAACTCAAGGATGCTGCAATGGTACTAATGGTAGTTTGAAGTTTTGAGGCGTCTGAATTCAGAATTAAATCCACTCATCCAAGCAGGATCCTTTCAGACACCAAATCCATCCACGTTGAGCTTTCAACAAATGCACGTCGATCCGTTTACGAGCCTCAAGTATCCAAATCCAAGTAGATGAAAACTTTTTTTTTTGCAAATCTGCCTTCCAGCTCTACCTGAATGTTTTGTGCATCAGCGTTTGCTCCTACGAGCTCTGGTGGAGGAGACGACACGTTCGGGGCTTAACTGTCAATTCTAGCCGTTTGCAACCAGATCCCAAAAGGGAGCAGCGACATGACGATACTTAGATCAGCATCGGGTGGATGGGATTTCTCAGCACGTCCCTTTCATTATTGTTTAGAATGCTCCGTATTTCCTCCATTTATTCCTTCACAGTTGGGTCAATGAAATGTCAGATAAAGGTGAATTCTTTCCTCGCACGTCAGCTTAGTTTCTTCCAACCCCAAAAATATTCAGTTAACACTGACGTGAAATAGAAACACAACATTTTCTACATATGACATTGTCTACACATTTTACGCAATATTGACTGTGGGACAGCAACGTTTTCCTGGAAAGCTTTAATTAAAGAATAGAGCATTGAATAACAGACAGGCCGGCATTCATTCTGGTCTAATTTAGGCAGTTAAATACCTGACAAATAAAGTGACGGTGATGCAAAAAGTCGTATTAACATCCAACATGACCAGAAATCAGTCCGGCTCAGCGGCGAGTAACATTCTCCCCAATGACCCGACACAGATATATAAAATGAGTCTCGAGAGGCATAAACAGTAGGGCGCGCAATAAAATGTAATATGTTGAGATATTGTGATATACAACCACCTTGTTGTTAATAACAAACACTTTATGAACTTTTCAATATATATATATATATTGTTATTATCGTTGCTTTACCCCGTCACACGTCTCCTGCCGTCTGTATCAGCATCAGCATCTTTCCAGCTCCCCTCCCGCCGAGCGGCGCTCACAGTGCGGCGCGTGGGTTCATTGCACCCACTCGCGTAGGCAAGTGGACGCTTTGAATCCTGCAGCAGTCCCACTCAATCCGACAGCATCGCCACCGGTGCTATTTACATTTTAGAGCACTGCGTGCTGTGTTCTTATTTATTATCACCGCGGCAAATAGGCGCAGTGCAGAGTCGTGATATGCTGCTCTGTGCCGCCTCATGGCCGCGCTGATATGAGCAGTTGAATGTTTGGGATATCGCTGTAGTGCTTCACGCAGACGCGTTCATCTTCTTGGAAGTGATTACACGGTGTGAGAAAAAAAGAAAGAAGAAGTAAGTGAACCACTCGAGACAGAAGCCACCAAGATTGTTTCCTGCCTCTCCCTAAACTGCGTCACTCCCCAACGAGGAAATCCCATGTTTACCCCCGAGTTCATGACCTGCTGTCTCAACGCATCGGGGAATCAAGAATGCACCACCAGGCAGTTCACTGCAGATGTTGAATGAGCAGCTTTCCTTTTCCAGATGTCGGAGCTTCAGTTTAGATTCTTCTGCCCGTTTAGGATAAGAATGAACTTTATCGAGTCCTTGGACAAGAGGATAAGATATTTAAAAGCACAACAGAGGAGTAAGTAAAGAACAAAAGAGTAGAAATATGAACATATGCAATGTAATGACAATGGTACAAGGAGTAAAACGTCACGTCACGCATGTTGAAAAGCTCTTAAAGGAAGAGAACCAGAAGATTTGCCTGTAGTTGAGCCACCGGTAATTGGCCGCTCACGCTTATCTCACATGTCATTCAAAGCAGGCGGCGAGTCAGCCGGCTCTGAGTCAGCACTCGTCTGTCTGAATCAAACGGCAGGCGCCCGAGTCGCGGGGCATCGCCGCGTTTGGAGGTTATTTTTTTTTTTGAAGACTGAAAAGCGCCAACGAGTTCAAACGCGGTGAAGAATTGTCCGTTTGTGGTGACGCTGAAGCCGTGTGAACCCCTCGGGAGCGGGACGCGACGCCGTGGTCCACGTCAGATGATGAGGGACGTTTGTCTCTTTGCTGGGTGGTCCAATTAAATCCCCCCCCCCCCCCCCCCTCTAAAAAAAGCAGCTGGCCTTGATTGAGGAACCGACATTCTAGACCCGGTTGCACGGTTGAATTAGAATGCTGGTTTCGGTTCACTTTCGATTAAAAAGGGTCACAAGGCGCCGCTGGGACGTCTGTGATTGGTCCGATAATGATAATCACTCTACACTGCGTCCATCAGAGGACTCCTCCTCCTCCGAGAGTCCACATCTGGGCTGATGGACCTTTCTTCTCCTTCTGTGTTTAAATCTGCTGGGGTTTTTTTCTTTATCCGTTTGCATCTCTCTCCACCTCTTGACCTCTTTGTCATCCTCCCCATGTGAACTTTGGCCTTTGCGTTGCTGCTCCAGT